GCCCTGCTCCACGGCCGCCGGCTGCCCCAGCAACTCTCGCAGCTGCTCCTCCTCCCGCCGAGCGGCCACTCGCTCCCCGGCCAGCTCACCCCGCAGCAGGGCCACCTCCACCTCCATCTGCGGAGAGAATGCAAGGGCTGGCGGCTCTGACGCCTGGGTCTGAGGGGCCCAGGGGTCTGAACTCCTGAATTCGGAGGGAGGACGGAACCCGGGGACCTAGATTTGGAGGGAGGACGGGCTGGGGGCCTAGAATCTGATCCCGCAGGAGGAAAGGGCTGGGAGTCCGGCCTTGCGGGTTCTCCTGGAGTTGGGGTCAGACTTCCCAAGGGGTCCCGGCCTCACCTCGATCCTCAGCTCCTTCCTCTGGCGCTGCAGCTCTTTCACTCGCTGCTCCATCAGGGCCACGCGCGTCAGCGCCTCCAGCTGCTGTCCTCGCAGCCGCCGCGCCGCCTCTCGCACCCCGTCCCCAAAAGGGGTGGATGAGGGGGCTGGTGGGAGGACCTGTCCCGGAGGCGTGGCCTCGGGCTGAAGTTGGAGAGGGCGTGGTCAAGCGGAGAGGCCACGCCCCCTGCAGTCACTAAGTAGGTCTGGTCCCCATCCCACAGCCCCCCACTGCGGGCTCAGCCCGCCTAACTCAACCACCGCGCATAAGCGGTCTGAGGCTCTTTTATTCAAGGTCGGAGTGGGGGACGGTGCAGGTCTGGTGACCACCCGACCCCAGAGGTCGCAGGACAGGGAGCAAGTGTTTCTTTTTCTCTATCCGGGTCCCATTCTCTTGGCATCACCTTCTTATAGTCCCTGGATCTCTCCCCCCTCTCCCTCCCGTTCTCCACCCAGCCTCTCCGACTCAGTCTCTGTCTTCCGCCTCTAAATCACTAGATCTCTTCCTCCCTCGAGTATCTTCCCCTCTCAAGTTTTCTGTCTCTATTTCTGTTTCTGGGCATCTGCATCTCTGCCCTGTGTTTCTGGGTTTCCCTCTGTGTCTCTCTATCTCTCTCCAAGTCTCTGTCTCTGAGGGTGTCTCTGTCTCTGGGTCTCCCTTGGTTGGGTCTCTCTGGCTCCGTGTCTGGGTCTCTGTCTCTTCAGTAGTCTCTCCTATCTCTGGCCTGTCTCCCTGTCTCTGAGTCTCTGTCTCTCTGTCTCTGTCACCCGTTTGGGTCTCTCTGTTCTCTGGGCCTCTCCATGGATCTCTGTCTACCTGGTTTCTGTCTCTGTGGCTCGGTGTCCCGGTCTCTGTCTCTCAGGAGTCTTCCCCTATCTCCGGGTCTCTGTATGGTTTCTCTACCCTTGTCTCTGTGTCCGTCACCCGTTTGGGTCTAAGTGCGTCTGGGGGTCCCCGCGGCTGTCGCCCTCCGGGCCCTCACCGCGTCGCGGCTGCTCTCGGTGCTGCTCCCTTCTCCCACGTCTTCCTCTTCGTCCGCCTGCTGCTCGGCGCCTCGGTGGCTCGGAAGCTCCACCGGGTCCTCGGGCGCCTCCTGCGCGCGGGAGTCCTCGGGGTGCCCCTGGGGCTGGGCGGCCTCTTGGGGCTGGACCTCCGCGTCGCACTCCGGGACCGGCGGCGACGGGGTCCCCTGCTCGGGGCTGCTCGGCGTCCCCATGGCTGCTTCGGGCTCCTGCGGGGCGGGCGGGGCCGGGTGCTCTGGGGGCGGGGCCTGGCGGCGTGGGGCGGGGCCTGGGAGCCCGCGACGGCGCCGATCTGCTCCGGAGCGTGCAGCGCCCCCAGGAGGCGGGGCCTAAGAGTTCAAAGGATGGCACTGAGCAGTACGGGGGCGTGGCCCAAAGTTTCCAGGGGCGGGGCATGAAGTTGGGGCGGGAGTTGAAGAGTCCTAGGGCGACACGCCCCCGGAGGCGGGACCGGAATTTGAGTCCCCGGGTCCACCATGCCCCCTACTGGCCTCTCCGACCCCGCCTCTCTCCCCTGTCCAGGTGTCAGGCCTTGTACCCCTCAGCAGCCCGCTGCGATCTCTCGGGCTACCTCAGAGCGACCCCATCTTCTCCTTCCGGGACTCGGGAGTCCGACTCCCGCCCCCTCCCCTTCCCGGAGCCCGCAGTCTTGGTCCTGACCCCACCGCGCAGGGGAGCGGCGCCCACGCCACCTCCCCCAGGGATCCAGGAGCGGGGGCTCCCAGTCTCCCCCTGAACAAGCCAGGAGCCTGAGCCCTTGAGATTCCCGAACTCCAGCCCTCCTCCCCGCAGCCTCGGCCCGCTCACCAGCTCCGGCTCCGGCGCGCTCCGCTCTGGGCTCAGGGCACTGCCGCTCCTGCCTACAAGACAGGTGGCTGGGGAGGAGAGTGGAGAGAGAGGCCGCCCCGTCCCCCTCCCCAGCAGCCCGGAAGTGGAGGGGGGGACAACAGGTCCAACAGCTCCCGAGGGAGGAGGGAGCGACCAGCGTGCCCCGCCCGCAGCCTAGGCATCCGGCCATCCCGGCCCCACCGGCCCCACCCTTGGGGAACCCAGCATGGCGACCTCCCACTCTGCCTCCAGCACCCCCACACTTGTCCCCTGCAGGGCTGGAGGGCCAGGTGTCTTGGCCACCGCTGTATACGTGCCTCCCTAATGCCCAGACCCTGGGAGTCCTGAAAGGACGACAGGAATGGAGATGGGGACCTCTCCTCTCTAATGAGCCCTTTAGAAGGGCCCCAACCGGTTTGGGGAGCTGGACAAGGGGAGGGGGTACCCTGAGCTGAGTCAGAGACCCGCCCAAAAACAGAGGGAATGTGCCCCCCTCCCACTTTGCTATAGGGTGAAGGGCAGAGGTTAAAGGTTTCAGCCAGACCTTTTCCTCTCTGGGCAAAAACAGGAAAATAACTGGTGTATGAAAAGGGATTATTAGATGTCAAGAGCTATGCTAAATACTTTATACATGCTCATTTAATTTCATCTTCACAGCAGCCCAGCCAGAAAGGGATTACTATCTCTATTTTATACTTGAGGAAACAGGACAAGGAGGATAAATGTACCCAAGGTCTACCCATGTTGTAAACGTTAACACATCAAAAATTCACGTTTTTAACCATTATGTATACCCTCACTCCAAGTCAGGAAGTGCCCGATCATTCCAAATGATGGTAACAATAATAGTGAACGCTGCTAGTGCAGTGTGCCAAGTACTCACATACGTGGACTTGTCAGATCATCACGACACCCTATTACTATTATTTCCATGTACAGATAAGAAAACCAAGGCCTAGATAAGTGAAGTACCTAACCCTGGGGCTCAGAGAGGGAAGTGTCTCAAAAGCAAGATGGTGTTCTAACTCAGGGCCGTGAGAAGACCAGCCCCAGATACACGTTTGCTTTTGACCTTGTGAGTTAGAAATCTCCCTCCGGGCTCCCTAGACCTTCACCTTGCCCTGCTCCCCTGGCCTCTCCAGGGGACCAGAACTAACCCCAAGCCTCTCAGCCCAGAAACCCAACTGATTCCCCCAGAAAACAGGCAGAAGTCAGATTTATGGCAAAAAAAAAAAGTTTTATTTCAGAAGCTCCAGGGGCTGGTTTGGGGGTGGGGGTGAGAGAGGAGAGGCAGGATGGTGACTCCTCTCCCCTC